AGTAGCATTAATGTTTGATGCATGGCAATCGGCTTTTTAGTCCAAAAGTTAAATAGCAATGTTTTTGAACGTTGACCTGGACGGTCGGATTGTTCAGCCTGAGAATCATTTAGGCAACTGGTTCAGTTTCACCCTCAACCCAGTCCTTGGCCAAAAACTATTGATTTGGTCAGTGACCCACTGATTCAGGCAGTCGAACCGTATCAACCTGTTTAATCCATTCAATGGTTTTTGGCTCTTTTATTTTAATTATTTTTAATTTTTCAGTTGGAACTCAACAATCAAACTGTCAACCCGGAAACCGGTGGCCGCCAGAACAGTTCTAGTTCCAGGTTAGTTTTTAAAATCTTGTTAAAAGCCAAATATCTGACTGAATCTTTACTCTTGGAAACTCACTACAATTCTAAGATTCTTGGGATTCTATACCATGGGCTAAGATCTACTGAAGTATCAGTTTTTTTTTTTTTAATACCAGCTTAGATGCACACCCTTTATTAATTGGTCATCTCACCAAGGGTTAAAAGTATTGCAATGTATCGGTGCATATCATACAATATGTATTTGTTTGGACACCAGTCCATTGAATACTTAATTAGACCCATTTAATATATTCAAATGTTAATATTCATCTTAACAAATATACCTACTAAATAAAAAAATAAAGTATCAAAGCGATCAAATGCTCGAGCATTTAAATACTTTGAACCATGCATCTTACTAGTATATATGTTTTTTAATAAGATCCTTCAATTCTATCCCAACCATTCTAGATGAATGATTCTATTCCAACCATTAGCCTTTTTCTTTCTTGGTTAGCTGGCTTGGAGTTCACATTAAATCTAAGCAAATTCTTGGTTTACTCTGATTGCCAATTTTCCCTTTTGCTCCAAGATCATGCTCCTTCTACCTTATCAGTTCTTCATCACACCTATTTATCCAACCCAGACTGCAAGTTTCCATTAATTTGGTTCTGTAGCTGTCAAAGAATTTGCTCCCGCACATCAATTTATCCATTTTGTCTTCCTTGCTCTCTCAATTAATAAGAAACAAATCTTAAGGCTCAATTTAGAAAGAGTACAAATATAAGGTTTTGCACCTTATATGTTTGTATATATACTCCTTCCAAACTGAGCCTAAGGGATCTTTTTATGGAATGCGAGGAAGATAAAAGAAAATCCTTCACGATGTTTTGAAAAAAAAAAATGATTAAGAAACATAATTGCCTTTTCCTATAAGTGGAAGGTCGGTAATTCAACCGTTCGGATCACATGGATCTAACCTTTGGCATCATTAATTAAATAATAAAAATATAAAAACAGGTCAAACACGAAATTAATGAGAATCATTGTTATTTAGGATGGAAATGACTAAAAATACAAAAAGGAAGAGAAAAAGAGCTTGTTTGATCCATGACCAAGTCAACGTTTTTTTTAAGTAAACCGTTTCAATGACAAGTTGACTGGTCCAATTAACCATAGGCTGAAAACATCGGTCCTACCTACCTACCTTGCTACATTGTCTCATTGTCTTTGATTTATCATCCTAAAAATAGTTTTTTTTAATGAATCTCATATAAAAGCTCTTTTGTGGAAAAGTAGTTATGGCATTTCCAAATGAAAGAATCAGGATTGTGGAAGAGAAACTGTAATTATATTTTCTCAGTTTTTATGGGATTATCAAAGGTATAGCCTTGTTTCTGAGACAGCAAAACCCAAAAGCAAATTCACGGAAGGGAGAACAGTACATGGGAAGAAGAAAAGAAAAAAAAAAAATGAGACTGACAAGGAAAGAGGAAATAATGCAGAGAAAATACTTTGCTACAAAGCAAGTCACATGGAAGAGGTTCCTAGGTCCGGTTCAGGGTTTTTAAGATCGAACCGGACAACAAACCGTTCAGGGTCCGGTTCCTAGGTCGAACAGTCTGACCGTTCGAATTGAACGGACAGTCCGTTCTGACAAAAAATTAAAAAATAAAAATGACCAAAACCTTTGGATGATTCGGACAGTTCAAATGGTTCAAACGGTCTGAACGCCCGGGTCAGCGGTTTGCTGACCAAATCAACAGTTTTTTGCCAAAAGATGGTTCTGGGGTAAAACAGAACCAGTGACCGATTCCCGGTTTTTCTGGTCTGGTTTTGAAAACCATGGGTTTAAGCATTGTCAAAGTGAAGATTGGCCCTAAACTAAGCTTTACTCTCTACTCTCTAGACTTTAGAACAACTATTAGGCGCATGGTTTTCAAAACTGCCATTGATCCAGATGGTCAGACCATTCGGCCCAGGCACCATCCAAGCAACCAGTTCCGTTTTACCCCAAACCCGATCCCTAGCCAAAACCGTTGAATCGATCAACGATCCATTGACCCGGCCAGTTGAATCATTAACCCGCTTGACACATTCAACAGCTTTTGCCATTTTTTATATTTTAATTATTTTTTAATTTTTTAAATTTTTTTTGTCAAAACGGGCTGCCAATTCAAACGGAACAATTGAACCATCAACCCAAAAATCAGTGGCCAGAATAATTCCGATTCCCAATAGTTTTCTAAAACATTGATTAGCCGGGGTCCTTCAAGTAAATAATAACTACATTTTCAATTGCCCACACGGCCACACTCGTTCTTTGTACAATTTGTAAGTGGACTTCCAGAACTGACAAAATGTTTCAGATGTGRCCACTCTGCCAATGCAACTCTACAATATGATCCTTCTGACAATGCTATATCTGTGATGCCCCGGAAAAAAGCAGAATCAACTCGCGTCACCCAGCGCACTAATAAGACTAATTAACCTACGGGTGCAATTTGGGCAGGTCCAACCCGAGCCCGGACCGGCCCAGCCCGCAATTTTATTTATGTTGGTTTCCAAATTTTTTGGATTGGGTTCAAGTTTATTCCTTAGGCTGTGTTTGGTTGCAGTGCAATTTTATTTATATTAACACAAATGTATGGGAGCGTAAATGAAAAATATGCAAAGTTTGATTTAATTTGTTTTGGCTTTTTCTTTATTCTGCTTTGGGTCTTGTTTTACTTCATTTATACTGTAACCAAACAAAGTAAGGTAAAACTTGAAACAAAAGTAAATCAAAATTTGCACCCAAATCATTTGCACTATCATATTTTTGCATCAATGCAAATAAATTTGCACTGTAACCAAACACAACTTAGAAAGTCCGAATCTAATCTAAGCCCGGCTCAATTATATACATATTTGCATGCATATATTCATATTTTTAATAAATTATATATACATACACATGTATATCAATTTTTAGTGTTGGCTAATTGATCAATCAAGACCGGCCCAGGCCCAAGCCCAAGCCCAACCCGAATATATTAAATTTTAGTGCAGACTGAGCTCAGGCTAAATAGTTCGGACTTAACCTTGGGCTGGAGCTTTAGGCCCAATTCTTAGTGTTGGATATGGATTGAACTAAAACCCAGCCCAGCCCACCCGACTTGCACCCCTAGCCTAGCCTCCCTCATGAGAGGGTAATTCCGCAACAACAGAATGTTGAAGTAATTAATCAACCTTGCATCGTCCCTGTTTGTTCATTTCTCCTCTTTAATGCGTTTTTAGCTACAAAGCTAATTTATGGGCCTCAAAGGTGGCCCACATTTCTGCTACCGCAATTGATGTGATACCAATTTTCTCGGATTTGGTAGCAAGAAGGAGATGTTCCAAATTCACGACGTGGGCAGGAGATCCGGAGTCAGAATTTTATCCTCAGTAGTCCCTCATTGCACATTCTGACATTCATACCAACTTATTTAACACCATTTATACCACTAATTATCTCTACTTCATAATTAACTCAATTAATTTCAAAACGGTCCTAAATAAAACTAATATGTTTTTAGAGGGATTTAAACCCGGGTTCATTAATTGAAACATAAATATTCTAACCACTAAACCATCCATAATGTCTTGCTAAATTAGAATTGATAAGACATACATATTTTAGGTACAGAAAATTCATTTGAAAATACCAACGTCTCAAGCCATATAATCAAACCAGCTCCCAATTGGCCAATTCTTTTGCCTTTATAATATCAATTATCCATTTAAGGGATAACTAATTTCATAAGAAAATGTAATTTTTCTACTATGATATATTATCATTATTTATTAAAGTTTGTCTATTTTAAATGTTGTAACTTTTTAAATGGTCATTAATGAAATTTATAGTATTAATCTGTAACTTTGTTTATTTTAAATTTTGTAACCTTTACATAGCCGATGTTCTTGATATGTGATTGGGTGAACGTGGCCAGCAATGTGTTGTGCTGTGGTTAACAGATTCAGACTCTTCTAAGTGTACCCAAAATTTAAATACATTCTTTAAATCCCCTCGTTAATATTCTTTACATTTTTCAATACTTTGAATCTTGCATCCGATTTTAAATTATACAAGTAAAATATTATTTTACATTATCAAAATCTTAAGGTTTTGATAAGGATAGGATACCCTTAAATTCCTATTAATTGCCATCCAGGATGATACATTTTGGTGATATATTATTTGTATTATATGATTTACTTATATCAAGGTTTAAAGTATCGACATGTATTGATACATATCGTTTCAAGAGCTCTACAAAGGGTGCATCGGAGTTCTGACTGGTTCAAGGGGTAGAAAAACCTTAAACCGCCCCCCTCCCCCGAACCAATTTTAAAAAAAAAAATAAAAAYAAAATTAAAAAAAAGTACCGATAGCCCGATACACCCCTACCACCATATCAGGCGTATCAATATTTTGAACCTTGCCTTATATATATCCTTGTATGTTAATACGTTATGCATACTATCCCCAACCTTAAACTCAGTATTTTTAATGTATTTGTGGGACCAGTGTGAGTTTGCTAAATGCATCATTTTTTTGGTAAGCTTTCCATTAATCCATCTACCATATCCATACATATCGAAAGTGTATCGTGATATTGCCTCTGCAATATAACACATGATACCAACATTTTGAACCTTGAACTGAATGCACATTAGTGGGACTGCTAAATCATTTTCATCAATCCATTTCTCCTTTCCTGATTTAGTCAAATATTATATACACATCTGGTACAACATTTGCAACGAGCCCTACATTACCAAAACAAAAACATGATTCACCAGTCACCACCCCCAGTTTTCTTTATCCCCAAGGGTGTAAAGTGTAAACTACATAAGAATACATTTAAGAAAAGGACAATTAAAAAATCAACGCACAAACTGCAGAAGAAAAGAGGAAAAATTCATAAAAGGCATAACTTCTTTTTTGGAGGGTGGAGGTGGGTTAGTATGGGTTTTGCTTCTCAGTGATCAGAAACCAAAGAAGCATCTCCCTCCAAGGCTCGCCTCCTCTTCTTCCCTTCCCCATGCCTCGATCTCCTGGGTGCTTCATCCTCACTCTCACTCTCATCATTTCTAAAGCTGTTTCCGACGGCAAAAGAATCATCATGTTGGGTTCTCATGCCTGGTTGATACTTCATCTCATCCTCTGGTCCACCCCCAGACATAGCCATCTCCTGACCCTTACCTTGGTCAGAACCTGCACTATATCTGTCATTCCTATCAGTTGGTCTCCTTTGATCTTTGTTCACCACCCTGCTGCTGCTCTGTGGCAGTGGAGGTGCTGGTGGACGGAATGGAGGCATACCAATTGGCCGACTGGCTCGAGGTGGCGCTGCTCCTATTCCCATTCCACCCATGAATGGGGCCCTCCCTGGTCCCATCATCATCCCAAGCCCACTAGGAGGAAAGACAGCTCCAGGTTGGGAAGGCCGACCATGAAAAACCATGCCTGGCGTAGGGCCTGTTCCATCTATAGGATTGAAGCCCATTGCTGCACTCTGACCCAAACCAGTGAAATCTCCAGAAAATCGTGGACCATAAGGTGCAAATGCACGGGGAGCAATGCCAAAAAGATCTGGCATGGAGAATCCATCAGGTGTAACAGCACCATAAGAAAAACCATCAGCACCCATCATGACAGGAGGGAAGCCCCGGATCCCAGGAATTGGCCGCCCTCCACGAGCAAGTGGCATATGTGGAGGCCACATCACTCCTCTACCTCTTCCTCTCCCTTGGGCAGCATTTATAGCCTGGCCAAAGCTTTCATCCTCTTCCTCACTTTCTTCCTCTTCCTCGTCTTCATTGTCTTCAAATGGGACAATGTCATGGTTATCAGCCCCTTCATCTGGATTAACTCCCTTAGCCTTTTCTTCCTCCCGCTTTGATTCAGCAGCAACTGAAATTGCCTGGATAAAGTATCAAGTAAAATGAAACCAAAATTAGAAAAAGGAATAGAAAAAGAAAGAAGAATCAAGAAAGCTGGCATCTTCTAATCACATGTTGGCAATTTATTGCACCACAGATCTCACAGATAGAAAGGGGAGGTAACAAACACCCAAGGGCCTTTCCAATTACCAGCTGAGGTGCCACATGTAAGACCCCAGCTGCATAAACCCTTCAGTACATGAGGGACGTGCAAAACATTTAGTCAAAATGAGTGATTATTTGACTCAATTCAAGAAGTTGCTTTATTGGGTAGTAAAGCTAGGATTTTATTTTGTGAAGGCCAAGGTTGTAAATGAAAGGATTGGATAACCAATATCATCCATAGATTCAGTCATGTTTATAGAAACTGGTTGCAATGATGTTGAAGAGACTCAGACACTTTTTTTAGACAGGTGAAACTGCATTGCATTTCTATTGTAAAGATTAAATATTCTCAAAAGTAAAGAATACACTGTCTATGAAACTTCCACTCATTATTAGGACCCATTTTTTCTCGTTGTCATCTCATCTTAGTTCTAGATCTCTTCCCACAAGTTACGTCAAAGGGTCAATGAGAGAAAAGGGAAAAAAAAAGAGTTAAAATTTGACAACAAATAAATACTACCCAGAGAAAAAGCTCACTACAAAAAATTCCATCTCTCGACTCTAGCTAAAAACAGAAGTTTGACACTCACAGAAGATAGAACAGGATGTACCTATGAATTGTTGACCTGAAGAATGTTCAAACATTGGACTTATCTATCATATTCACATTCTCATTAATAGATAATAACCAGTAGTTACAAGTTATAACTCTTTACAAGGCTGGCATGAGTGTGCATGCCTACATGGTTATGGCTAAGGCACTAGTTGAAGGTAATAGATAATGCAAATCAACTATGCTTGAGACCCCTACATTGGAAGTAACTTCCTGATGTTTGATATGGCTTAGAGAACTGAACCTCCATAGTAACTTGTTAGGGACCCAGAAAGCAGGCTGAAGGTATATTCTAGAAAGAAGAGGAAGAAGCCAGCTCAGGTAATGAGACAGATGAGCACAACTAATCAAGAAACAGTTGGCAACCAATCAAGATTCAGTCACATGTAACCAATCAAGAAGCAAGTGGCTAGTTAGTCGTAATAAGGCCACATTACTATTACAACGAGCAATATAAAAGGAGATGGCTGTACACTGAAAAGGAGAAGATAAAAATTTCCTCAACCATTTAGAAGATTTCCAACCGCTTCTTGGCTTGATTTTGACATGCACATTTATCAAGAGAATTCGGATTAGCTGAACACTTTCGCTGTTCAGCAGGCTGTAGAACCAATGATGAGGTTCCACACCAGTATAAAATTCATGGGACCCACTGTAAAAGATGCGGGCCCCATGTTTTAAATACTGGCATGGAACCTTATCATTGGTTACACAGCCCGCTGAACAGCTAAAGCATTCAGCTAAACCTTGCTCTTATCAAGAGATCAACAAACTTTCTGGTGGTCTAGAAAAAGATGGATATAGATTCTCAATGATCCAAAGTCAATGGATTTCCAAGAACTCTAAAAGATACTTATATTAGGCCATGTTTGGCAGTGCTTATTTGGGTCGGGACCACACCATTAAGCACTTATTGGTGTTTGGGAAATAAGCCCGAAATAAGTGCTTATCTTAAAAATAAGGGTTTATTTTTTAGCCCAAATTTTCAGCTTTTTTTCAAGTGCTTATATAATAAGCCCTTATTCAATTTTTTTTTCTTCCAAAATTATCCCTAGTTGAATTTTAAAATACCACTAATTGAATTTCATAAAAGTGCTTTCGTAAAAGTACTTTTGTAATTTATAAAAGTGCTTCCGTAAGCACTTTTATAAAAGCACTTCTATGAAAGTACTTTTATGAAAGCACTTTTATAAAAGTACTTTTATGAAAGCTATGAAAGTACTTTTATAAAAGTGCTTTCATAAAGGTACCTTTATTAAAGTGCTTTCATAAAAGTACTTTTATAAAAATACTTTCGCAAAAGTGCTTTTATTAAAGTGCTTTTGTAAAAGTGCTTTTATAAAAGTGCTTTCATAAAAGTGCTTTTATAGAAGTGTTTTCGTAAAATACTTTCATAAAAGTGCTTTTGTAAAAGTACCTTYATAAAAGTGCTTTCGTAATACTTTCGTAAAAGTGCTTTCGTAAAATTTGAAAGAAAATGAAAGGACAAAATAGTCACAAATGCTTATTTAAGTGGTGAAAAAGTTGGCCTTAGTGGTGAAAAAGTTGGGTGCCAAATACAAATAAGTACTTATTCAAATAAGCACTTGTTTTGAAGCACTTATTTTTAACATAAGCACTCCCAAGCATGGCCTTAGTGGTAACCCAGAATCCCAAGCAGCAGTGGGCTGATTGCGATTTCACAGTTAGTGGGAATGTGATCTGTAAGATATTTTCTTTACATATGAAGGGCATCTTTTCTATTCAGCTCATCACCACTCCAAGTATTTTGTATTTTCTTGGTCTCATGTTGCTTGGGAAAAATTCAAGCTTCCCACTAATTATTATACTATATAGTTTCAGGTACTGGATATGTACATGCTTTTATTTTATGATTCTACAGAATTATTATATAACATAATTTCAGGTGATGTCAAAGATCTAAGAAGCTCATGTAATTTTTGCACTTTTAAGTACCAACAAAGAATTTATCATAAATCAATGTGGTGCCCTTGGTTCTAAATCCCAAAAGATTGAACCTGTAAGTAGCTAGGTTTAGGAGCAAATAATCATTGACAAACCATATGAGAAACATACCATAAGTTCGCTATCTGGCTCAAGATAAAGCAAGGAAGCCAACTGTTCTCCAATGGAGGGTTCTAGCTCCTGGCAATCTCGACTTATCTGCAATTATGAAGGACAACAATAGCACAAATTTAGGTTATCATAACTTCTGCCTCTTAAAAGTGAAATGGCAACATAATAAAAGTAAAAATAGGCTTAAAAATGGTTGACATTTCATGCAGTATCGTGTAAACAATGGGAAGTTATGATCCCAAGTYAAGTACATTATTCCAAGTGTGGAGAAATCTAGGTTTCTTTTACATCAAAGTCAACAAAACGTTTCTGCTGCTGACAAAAAAAGTTAACAATCGCTTTCAGTTTAGATCCAATCTCACTTGGACTTTTTCTTTTTGCACATTCTATGTAATACAAAATTTTATATATTAATTTATTTAGTAATGCTATCAAAGGGAGAAAAAAGAAGATGAAGAAGAACAAGAGAAAGATGAGAAAAAGAGAAAGGAATATGCAATTGGAGAGAAAAAAATCTTTCCTATCTCCTTAATTGATTTGCTTTAAAGAATGAATAATAGAGGCACAAAAGGACAGAACTGCCCAACTATGCAAGTTGACTCATTTACTTAATATAAATGGACAGACAAACCCTTTACACCTCACAATACACAACATGAACCAACTCAAGTTGGAGTGTGTGTGTGTGTGTGTGTGTGTGTGCGCGTGCGTATGTGTGTGTCCACCTTGTTACAAATAACCCTGATCCCACTCAAATTTTTATTAAACAAGTTAGATAATTCATCTCCAGATTTCAAAAAAAGGAGTACATACATCTATGATAAGAACTTTTTCACTCAAAAAGTAATAACCACAATGTAGATGTTCAAGACTGCTATCAGTCTTGAGCACTAATAAATTTCAGGTTCGAAAAGGAGAGAAAGTATAGAGGAAAGAGGAGAAAGAGTAGTGAGAAAGCAGTAGAACACAAACTTTGAAAGGAATAACAGAATCTCAATATTCTGCCGCCGCCACTTCTATTTAATATTTATAGGTTATGCTAGTTACATGAAAGGACACATCTGCCCTTGGTATTTACATAACACATAACAATATAAA